AACAAAGTTATATAAAAGGTCACATCGATTTTTTGGTGGCTAGAGTCTGGCCAATTTAATACACTATCTAATAATCACACAATTTATTCTTTATTCCGACTCTAAAAAGGGTGCAGGACATATGTCAAAGGGTATTACATTAGAAATATGACGAGCATCAAAAGCAATGAAAAAAAAATGAGGAAATGTTTGGCTAAGCTTATAAGTAGCTAGTTTAGACTTGGTAATTTTATCCTTTTATTATGTTTTAGAAAAGAAATATTATAATATATCAAAAATATCGAAAGGGTAGACGTTTGAGTCCCCTTTAGGGGATAAGGATGAAATTAAAAGCAATATTATAATAAACGAAAAATATCAAAAGGTGAGATTTGCTAAGAAAAAAAGAATAATGTTAGGTGTACATAACCATTCGCATAATGGTTCAAATAATACTGACGTCGCAATCATCCACTTGTTGATGTGTAAGTGTGAAATTTGAATTAAAGGTTGGATCACATACCACATGTAATTATGTGAACCATTATGTGAACGGTTATGTATTACTCAGAAAAAAATTAGAACAAAGACCTAACGCCAAGTTCAGTGAGGTAAATTAAACAATAAAAATGAAAATGAAGTTAAAATCTTATCAACCGTACATTCAAGGCGGTCCCCGACTCGTATTCCATTCGCAACCCTCAATTGCTAAACGCCATCCTTTGCTTTTGGGTAGAGTTCGGTAGCTTCACATCAGTGGCCAATTCAATAGCTTCAAGAAACCTAATTACATACCAAGTCATGTCTATTTGCCACCATTCCAGTCCATGTCTAGCTGAATATTCGAACGCATGGTGATTATTATGCCAGCCCTCTCCAAATGCAAGCATAGCCACGCACCTGCCAAATATTCAAACTTTCATGTATATGTACATGTTTATTGACAATTTGTGTATTGTGCTTTTTGTTTAATTACAAAGTTTTCGACAAGACGGTGAGCGTGAAAATCATACCAATTATTTCTCGATAGATCACCCGTGTTCCATGCTTGCTTTCCCCAAACGTGGCAAGCTGAATTCACCAGCCAAGTAATGTGGTACACCCACACGATTCTCACACCCTGCATTGTCAAAATTTTACTCTATCAATCTCTTATGTTTGGTATAGATTAAAATCTGATTTTAATTCCAAATCAAAGTCAATAATTAATTTTAATTACATATTTCATCAATTTTGATCAAAATTACATCAAACGGGGCTATAACATTGACTTCAATTTAGGTATCAATTGATTGAAATTAACTCAAAATATTTGCACTTACCATTCCCCAAACAATGTATGGAAATCCTCCAAGTGCATACAATAGAGCTCCAAGTGCAATTGGGTGGATTACATAAGTACTTCGAAGAAATTTATAGAAGGGTTGCTTCTCTAAATCTCCAACATTGTCGGGCTTTCCACACTGCAAATTCAAACTAAAGACTATTCATAATCATTCTCAAAAACAAGAAAAAGGTAATGACGACAAATTAAACATTGTTTTTAATAAATTTGTGGGCCATTTTGCGAGTCTTTTCCTCAATCTTGCGATTGTTCGAAAAGAGAAATAGAACCGACTAATCCTAAGTTAAGAAGTCGAAAAACTCGATGCCATTATTCTTGAACAACTTGAAGTTGAGCCATCTTTTTGCAAGCACAATGATCGTTTTAATCTGCCTAAAGTACATCAATTTAATAAATATGGCTTCAAGAATCATCAGAAAAAAGCACTCTCTCTATAATTCTCTGTTACAAGAAGATATTTGAATTGTCATTACCCTTTCAAGAATGGAGTTTCTATCAAAAAGCCAACTCATGTGACTAAACCAGAATCCTTCTATGGGACTATGTGGATCTTTCTCGGAATCACAAAATTGATGATGGTGCCTATGTGTGCTCACCCAATCAATTGGGCTTCCCTGAATCCAAAATACAAAAAACACAATTATAATATTAATGGTTAAATCGTGTCGTCAAAAATCTTAAAACTACTGAAAAATAGATAAAAATATGATACTTACGTTCTCTAATGTCGAGTTGAACCACCTCGTCCTATTACAGGATATAATTCTAATGAAAATATGAAATCAACTGACCTGAAGTGCTTGAACGCCACAATATGCAAAAAAGTACTCAAGCCATTTGGGAAGCTTGAAACTCCTGTGAGAAAGATGTCTATGAAAAGAAAGAGTGATACCCAAAAGGCCAGTGATAATATACAATCCAACTGCAACCCATAAAGCACCCCAATTGAATGTGAAGGGGGCAAATAGGCACAGCGAATGCATAGCAACCACCACTCCTACGGTGGCAACATCCAAAGAATTCCACTTTCTGCCCCAATACACATTCCTCCTCCTCTTCACTACCACATCAGACAGCAAAATTCTCCCAAATTTTAAATCTTTTCCACATTCTGGTGATGGAATTGATGCTGCACTCGCAATGGGAATTTTACTCTTGCCATTTCCAAATTTTCTTTTGGAACCATAATTTAAGGAATTTCGTGTTTTTCTAATGGTTCTAGCATAATATACAAATTCTTGATGATAATGTGTAATAGCAGGAATATGGGTGTTTGCTGGTTTAACGTTTGGGCGGTGGGGGGCTAAAGCTGAGAAGGGTTTAGCCTTGGACGGTGGTGCTGCTAGCAGCGCCGCCATTTTCTTGGCTTAGGCTTCTCGTTTAGAATATCAGTTCTTGGGTTTTTAAAAATTTGTTGTGTTGTGGGATTTTGAGTTCTCAAGAATTCGTGGTATAGATTATTCAGAACTTCGTTGTATGTGGTAGAGACTATAAGAATAGAAAAAAGTCATTTCCGTCCTGTCCAGAACAGAATAGAAAACACGAACCAAAAAATTTGAATGAATGTTTGGGAAGGAGATGACAAGAAGGTGGGGGTCGGGTTGGTCGTGGTCGTGGTCTTGTTGAGTTGGATTGGAGATTTCAGAGAGTGAAAGGATATTGATGTTGAGGTCGAGATTTTATTTGGGTTCACGAAATCATGTACAGATCATAAAGAGATTTTTGCAATGTAAATTATGTGGAATTTTGCTACTTGTACATCTATAAAATTTAAATAATGGATTACATAATATGATGTGGAAGAAAAATGTTGGATTGAAAGTTGATTGTATTTTAAACGACAAATGATAAAATATCGTGTGACATTATGTAATCAATCACATAAATTTTGATGTACACGTAGCAAGATCCAAGTTTGTGTGGTGGGGTTGAGTTCATATCTGTAGCTATGCTATCCATTTTTGTGTGAACATCTCTCCAAAACAATCTCAGCCACTTGCAGGAACTGCTACAAGTGTGTGTCATTGTCTACAACTTGAGGAAATTCATATTGACTATCGTTTTTGCCGACTGAGATTTTTGGCTTAAACTATTTCTACACACAAAGTGTACAATTTAATTGATACTCCCTGTGTGTCTAAAATTTGGCAGTTGATTGGAAAATGTGTTGTCAAGAGAAATATACCAAAATTTGCTAACTCACGTAGATGTAAATCATTGTATCAACTTTTATGTACATATAGCATGATCTGAGATATTTTATGCTATATGAATTTAACAATTTTCCGATCACACATTCAAAAAACACAAAATCTGTTTCACGTTACAAATTACGTATTTTTATAGATTACAATTTATTTATCGGTTATAAATTATTCGTCACACACCGTATCCCACCACAGCTCACCTCACCCCACTACTAATTAAAAAAAAAAGGATGAGCTGCATTCTTGACGACCCCCACCTGCGCTGCGTTGCCCTGTCCTAAGCCTTGGTGAATGAGGTAAATCACAAATTATGCCTCAAAGGATACATGGTGAAAGACTGCTTATACACTTACACTTATCCAACTGCCAAATCCATATTTCAGTATTCGAACTCTTGACACGACAGTCTCAAATAAAGCTGGAGTTTTTCCACCCCACCTCTAATTAGACCGAGTCTTGTCAGGGCTATAGTTCAGGACAGCCCCATCGGACACTATAATAATCTGAGGTCAAATCATAGTAGCTGATTATGGTAGGTGGGAATTAAAAAATAAAATTAATGCTTTGTTTTTGAGCCACAAAGTCGTTATATGACAAAATTGGGGAGCTTAAATTTGGGTTCACATAGAAATGCAGCAACATAGGGATCGGCTGCACTGAATAAATTTTTAAGCTGGATTAATATTTAAAAAAAAAAATTACATCCATTTTTTTAAAAGAAAAAATAATTCCACATAAAAAAAGTAAGATTATGTTTGATAGCATTCATTTTCTAGGGAAGTTGGAAAGTTTCTGCCATTTTCCACTTTTTACATTGTTTGATAGCACATATTTCCCAGACAAATTTTTTTCCACCCACCTCCACCACGCGCTTGCTTTCCTTGGATTGTGGGAAAATATTTTCCTTTTGTTTTTGTAGGAAAAGATTTTTCAATTTTTTTTTTTTGGCAATGTGAAAAAATTCTCGACATAATGGTAAAAAAAATTTCATTTTTATTGACAATTTTCATACCAAATAAAGCCAAGCAAATGGTATTCAATATGGTAATTTATTTTTTCAAATTTTTTTTTTTTTTTGGCAATTGGAACAAATTTTAGACCCAGTGGTAGAAAAATTATCACTTTAATGGACAATTTCCATAAAAAAGAAGTCAAACGGATACCAAATTTTCAACATTTTTCAGGTGAAATATTATATCAATCAAACACAATTAATTACAATTCTCATTAAAACAATTACAATTCAATTTCCTGTAAAACATTTTCATTCCACCCATTTTCCATATTTGCAATCAAACGGACCATAATTGGGCTGAGGCTGGCCTGGACTACTTAGCTCTCTAAATTCGCCGCTGCCATAATAGCTGATAATTTATAACGCGAAATGTACATCTTGCCTTACCACATGGTTGACATCTCATATATGGCGCAATTTGGACAGCGATATGAAATAATATCTGGATAATCAAAGGACAAATGGTGTCACATGGAACAATGTTAAGGAAGATGTCAATCATAATGTACATATAGCATAATTTGAGCCGACAATGGTAGGTTGGAATAATAAAATCTAATTAATGCTTTGTTTTTCCGTCTCCTATGGGTTATATGACAAAGTTGAAAATGACGGTTAGTATGCTTATTCTTATTGAGATATTTTTCAGAATTATTTAAGTGATTTTTTTTGTTAAAACAATCATTCATCTGATTTATTCCAAAATCAATGCTTATCTACAAGTGTACCAAGGATAATCAAGCCTCTGTTCGGTTATCATTTAAGTCTCAATTTCAACACGACTTTTTTAGATCATTATTAATTAGTGCACATTATTTGAATATTAGGTAGGCTTCCAATTAATTTTGATTATGAACCGTGAGAGAAGTAAAATTAATCCGAACCCATTTTTTACTTCAATCATGCTTGGTGTACAATTGTACATCAAATTTTGCACTTTGTCACATGACAACACATCGTTAGACAGTTTAAAAACAATACAGTTTTTGATCTAATCGTTTGTGGACAAGTGGACAATGACCAATGATGTACACAAAAAGGGGTACAAATGGCATGACCTTTTTACTTTTTCACGATGCTAAAGTCTTCATTTACTCGCTCGCTCTTGCTGCCTTCTTCTTGGGTTTTCACCATTTTCTTGAACTTGAATCAAACAATCTTGCAGCAGCACTTAGCGATCGTCGAACTACCAAAATTTAGCGCTTTCCCAATTCTTATATAATTGGCATCAACCTAGGGCCCGTTTAGAACGATCTTTACTTCTTGTTGAAGAGTTTTTTGTGGAAATTAACTTAATTTTTATTTGAAAACTAACTTTTAAAGGAGTTTTTTTATTTAGAAAATACTTTGTTGGACCAATTTCTCTTATAAGCTCTTTTAATTAGAAAAAACACTTTCATAAAATTAGCAAAATAGATCAAAAATTCATTTGAACTTTTCAAAAGTAATATCAAATGAACCCATAGCCGGACCTGAGGAGATGTCCAAGAGGCTGTTGCCCTAGGCCCAACTCTTTAGGGGGGTCCTTTTTTTTTTTGCTTTCTTCTTTATTTTAAAAATTCATTGTCGTTTATACTCGTTCACATTTGTTCGATTGCTCCAAATAATGAGGCTTCTTCAACAATGATATCGTAAATCATAAAATTAGTGTCTGGATTAGGAATACTCATTCTATTGTTTAACACCCCCTCGATATATATTTATGCATCGTTACACACATCTTTCTTGATCTGATCGTTTATTAACCCTAGTTTTTTTAATTGTATTGACTGATAGATTTTATACATTTAATTGATTACTGTACTTGTAGAATGGAATATTTAGGAAAGCAACTAAATGTCAAAAACTCTCGTAGATGGAAAAATAATTGATTACTTGCTACGATTTAGAAGTCTAAATTCTGAAATTCTCCTCAGGTCCCGCGAAACGCAGGTATGGCCCTAAATGAAGCATTAGTCTTGTTCGATGTGGCCTCATCAATTTTTAAGTAGATTGCAATAGATATCTAGACCAGTCGATCGTGCTGGAATTGAATGAAAATAACACTTTTCTAATGGGGTTGAAGCCGTTGTCCCCACTGGTTTTTGGATTAATCGTTTCATTTGGGTGATCAAATTAACACTTTTACGTTCTAATGGAAATTAATTTTTATCCGCGGTTTTGTCAATCAATAACCAATTATCGACGTATTTTCACAAATCAATAGATCTTAATCGTTAAGTATCCAGTTTCTAATAAAAATTCAATGAATGTTTGATTGTGTTAATCATTATCGATAAATTCTCGCTTCTGGTTGCATTCTGCACGATTGAGAAATCACAGATTTTCAAAAAGGACGCAAGACAGTAGTGAATAGGATGGAGTATGAGTGCCTCGTGTGGGTATTTCTATTTCAAGTTGTCTACTATCAAACTCAAAATTCAAGGATGTTGTGCAAAAGTGAATAATAAAATTAAAAAGAAAAAGGATAAAATCGACGCACAAAAATTTAATATTGTCTGATATTATCTAATCCAACTTATAAAACGTGCGAGGATATACAAAAAGGGCAAATATGTGTAAATCAGAAAACCAATGGAGAAAAATGTCTATTAATATCAAAAATATTGCTGATGGACTCTACTTTTTCCCTTTTATTTTCTCCTTTTTTTCCTCTTTCGAAGAATCCAATTTTCTTTTCACTGAGGAATGAAAAATGTCGACTAAGCCCTTGTTTGTCACATGTTTATAATCCGTCAAACTTTTTTTATTCATATATTTCATGAAATCTATAAGTATTATTTTCTTAATCGTCATTAATTTTTATATAAACGATTTTCGAATGTGCTTTAAGATTGACCGGCTAAAATTTATAAGTACAATCATGAATCGCCCAATGCTCAATAAGCGAGCTTAACAATTGTACTCTATTGTATTGAAAATAACTTATTCATCCAAATTTATGCTACTACAAGCTTATCTATCCATTTTCAAGTTTTCTAAAGAATTTCAATGGTCTCCGAAATTTCTTAACGGTAACCCTTCGATGTCTGCAATAACCCCAGACGATGGTTTCAGATAGAGAAACAATCTAATAATTTCAGTGTTATCAAACATGTATTTACAAGGGTCGATAGACTCAAACCAGAGTCATTACGTTGATTAACAAAATTATGTGTCTTATATCTCAATCGAAACCATTTGAACTGCTCCATCCCTCCAGTTTTTTGAATTTGAACAATCTCAGCAAGTTAACGCTTAACCACAACCGATTATTCCGATCCATCCCGTTTAATCGAGAAATGATTTGGAGAATGAGTAGGAAACTGAGGCAAATTCATATTATAAGCGTTAGCCACTTTCTGGGCTACAGGAATGGGTTTTTAAGATGAGCCTAACTGATCTGACAATTAAAGTGGATCGTATCAGCCCATTTTGTTGAAACGGGCTTGACAGCCCAGATTTCTATAAATAACCCCCTTATTTACGATTTACGTTTGAAGCGTGCATTTGAGAGAGTTGATTAGGGTAGTTTCATGACCAAAACTTCAAAGAAAAACCAGAAGAACAGCTCAAGCAGCAGCAGTGCTGATAAGAATAATGGGGTTGAGAAGACGAAGAGGACTCGAAAAAGCATCCCGAGAGAATCTCCACAACAACGCAGTTCGATTTATCGGGGTGTTACGATATAACAATGTTTCCATGAAAATATAGTCTTCTTGATTCTTTGATCATTTTCTCCATCTTGTGATCCCATTGCAGCTTTGGAATATTATTTAGATTTAGGGTTCGATCTTAAAATGTTGACATTGTTAGGAAACTCGAGCGCTTGGACACCATCATAATGGACGATGGGAGGCTCGCATTGGCAACGCACAAATATCTTTACCTTGGAACCTATGGTATGTATGCATATATATTCGAGAATTTGCATAATTTTTTTTATTCTTTTCATGATTTTCACCATTTTATTGTTCCCTTCCCCTTTCTTAGTACATACAGTCGACCTTGGACTCATTGTAATGAAGAATAGCTAAAATATTAGAGAATATTAACTAAGAAAGTCATGTGAATATATTAATATTTCATTTGATTATTAATTAAAATATTTGGTTTTCCACCTACATGAACAACAATAAGGCTATTTTTAAACATACTTTTAGTTTCGGAAGGATAAAATATTTAAAATATTAAGAGGTTGTTTGACAAAACTTATGATAAAAGTTATGTTAAAAGTTAATGACATATATGGTTAAACAATTGAGAAAAATTATATATCACATTAAATATGTGGATCAAAGTCGTCGTCGTTTTTAACCTCAACTGTTTAGCAACTTTTTAAACTATCCTGAACGAGCACTAAGCATTGTCTCGAAGCATATAATGGAAAATGGTCAAATAAGTGAAAGCAAACAAATATGGTTGATTATCTATCACCAACTCTCAACTGCTAGAAGTGTTAATTAATATTGCAACTTCAAACTCCATGACATAATTTCAACCCCTCACACCAAATTTCACATGCAAATTGAATTCTTGATTTCGTTAATGTTTGTATGTGTGTTGAATATTCCTTTTTGTCATTGCCTTGCAGCCACACAAGAAGAAGCTGCAACAGCCTATGACATGGCTGCAATAGAGTACCGCGGACTTCAGGCAATTACCAATTTTGAGCTTAGTCATTACATTAAGTGGCTACGACCTAACCAAAATAATACTCACCACCCTCAACCAAATCCTAACCCAATGTCAAACCCTAATCCAGAGTTTGGGACCTTTGGGTTTGGCTTCCTTCACCTCCTAACGCAAAGCTCAAGCTCAGCCGAAATGGCAGACCCTCGTCTGCAGCCAGGTGGTGGAGCCTCTACCTCATCTGCACTAGGGATTTTGTTACAATCTTCCAAGTTTAAATAAGAGCTTTGCTTGGGGTACATAGGGGGTAATATAGTGGTTGACATAATACTCAAATGGGGTGTGACCCACTTTTGAAATGGGTCTCATCCCATGTGAGTATTATGTGTACCATTATGTAGAAAAATTATGTACAAGTAGAATTTTCCTTTAAAGAAATGAGGGAACAAACAACAGCACAAGAAAACCCTTCTAGCCCGATGTAGTTTTCCCAGCGACATACAAACATCGTTTGAATTCCAAGAATCAAGTAGCTTTGATGAGGAACATGACATTATCTTTGGTGACTTAAATTCCTCATTTGCATCACAAATATTCCAATGTGATGCTTAATTAGTTAAATGTGTGACAGCGAGTGTCATCTAGGAGTCAACACGAGTTTTCTATTGTGAATACAAAGTAGAACAACAATGGTGGATGTATCCTTGATAACCCACATTGAGCTATGTATAGACAAGACAATTAATACATGTTTTTTCTTAAGAACTTTTTCGTTGTATTACCCTCTTTCGAAATACTGTTGGGCGTTCATTATTATGTAGATATACTTGGAATTAATTCATTTATCTCTTGTTAGCGTTTACAATTAAAGTCATTAATTATCATGTAATTAAGGGCTCTCCACATACTGAACCTTTGGTTATTTTTCTAGTCTGTATCTTTCATTATGGTAGACGTCTTCTTATATTCTAATCACTTTGTGACTGTGTGGCTAATATTTGATAATAACTCATATGCTGCAATAAAATTATCTTAATTACTTTTTGATTGAGGAATTAATGTCTTCAATACTTCCATCGTGTGTTTTTTGAACAAATCAAATCGACTATAATCACTCCCAGCCTGGAACCCGGTCGTGCTCACTAATGTCACGTAACTTTCCATTACAATTTCCTTTCTGCAATGTACATCAAAACTCAATGAGCTGAATATACAGCCCAATGAAACTATCAAGTATTCCAAACAACTTCAACTCTAATCTCCAAGAAGAAAGTCAAAAACCATTATAGGCTAGAAGAATTTTAGTTTACCCTTTGCCACAGCCGCTTTTACTTGCTGCAAATGACACGATGCTTTTTGTGCCCCGGACATTTCAGCGCATGAATCACGAGCCGCCCCCAGAGTGACAGCAAAGTACAGATATATAGTGCAGAGAAATGCTAGGAGTGCAAGAGCAGTTAGAAGGAATCGGTGTCGCTGAAGAAGAGTTGAACAGCTTCCTAATTCGTCTTCCCGTGAAGAGTGCTGTCTTTTCAATGATGGTGGAGAGAAAACAGTCTGTGTCTGCGACCTCCTATGAGGTGATGTTATTACGCTGTCAAGAGGCATCGCTAATATGATGACCTGCTTCCACTTACAAATGTCTGCAAGTTTTTAACGTGATCAAATTAGTAGAAAAACTTCAATTCAGCTGAACTGATATGGAAAAGGAGAACATGTAAATGATCAAAAGAGCTACATAACAAGTTATCTTCTACGTACAAACTCAGACCAAGTACAAGTTATATGACAAAATATGAAAATAATAAGACATAGAAAGACTTCCAAAGGTTTAGGTAACTTAGAGATCTAATGGTAAGCAACATGTAACCAGTGCTGAGTTTATAGGTCATAATATCAATATGACAATTGCTGGATTTAAAGATACTGACAAATTTTCAAAACTTTGTGTGAAATATTAATCAACAACGAATCGGAACCCATTTACTCGAGCTATGGAAGCAGCAATTTACTGAGGCTGCCCAGAATACAAACCGGCTGAGATCAAGATTACCCTAATACCTCTGTTAAACTTTCACAGAAACGTATGAATCCACTTCGTTTACAACTATGAAGCACTTCTATGATGTTCCAAGATTAAGAATGATGAGTACATTTTGTGCACCTATTTAAGTCATTTTACTTGGGTTTCATGTCGTCAAATTATTAATTTTTACTTAACTTAGGTTCATTTTCTTTTGTTTTAGTTTTGGACGTGTTCGAAACAATTGAAAGAGAAAGAATGCTGAAATTGAAGGAAATATACAATTTTGGGGATTAGAGTCTACACTAGAGAAATTGAAGGCCTAAATTGTATTAATTCTAAAGATGGATGACTTGGAGAAACACAAAAGTTAATGGGCTGGACTTGTTTAATTAGGATTATCACTTCAATTAGCACTTAGAGTTCTAATAAAATTAGAATTGATGGGCGGCTGATTGGTTGATTGGAATGGGCCTCAATTGAAGACTTTGGGGGTGCACTATTATATATATTTACAGAAGCAAACAGACGAAGGCGTGGGAGGTTCTTGGGAGTTGAATTAAAAATTACACACAGAACCTCCGCCGCAGGAAGCTGAAGAAGAGAAAAAAGACGCGCACACGGACAGGAACTGCTCGAGAATTCTTGGGCTCAAATAGGTTAATACACGAAGGACCCCCGCGGTAGGAGAAAGAAAAAGACGACGCAAGAGACAAAAACAAATTAGAACTTCTGAAGGTTTCTGAAAGTTGAAATTAATATATGCATACCATCCAGCAGCAGGAAGAAGACAGACACGTGGAAAAGGGATTGAATAAAGAAAAACTGGCCGTGGCAGATTTAATTTGGAGGCGATGACAGATTAATTTTCGGCAAAAATTAATCACGTTTCGTGAATCTTTGGTGATGTAGTTCCACTTTTATTTATTTAATTTCAATATCATGTTAAACTAGATTTATATGTACTAGAATTTACGATGAACCTCGTATTTTGATCTTTTAATTATTTATTTTGCAATTTGATATTCAAACACATTTGATGGATGTTGAATGATTAATATACACTTTCTTGCCTCCATAATTAAATGCATGTGATTATGTGAGTTTGGGTGATTTATTTTATGCATTCGAAAGAAGGGAAATAAACTCAACAAGGTATAAATCATCGTTTTGTTCATTGAGGATAGAAATATACCGATATGCATTACGTGAATCTTTAAGTGTTTACAAAGTGTCAAACATTCTTGTATATTGCATTTGTCATAGAAATATAGTCAAATGGTATGCTAGAATAGGTTCAATTCTACTCAAAAGAGATTATTGGATAAGTTAGAAACATTGATTCTTCAACCAATTCATCGTGTTATCAAATTGTGAAATAGATGTTAAAAGTGAACTTGTTTGGTGATTCGGGATCCTAGTGCGCTTTTTCATATATTACTTTCTCCAAACTCTTGCATTCAACCATTATTTTGCATTTAGTTTAATCGATCATCCATTAATTTTTGCATTTAGTTTAGTTACAACTTAGTTATCAAAATCAATCATATTTCATGTTTCGGTTAAGGTCGGAATAGGTAAAAATCGAACTAGTAAATCTTTGTAGGAACGATACTTGGACTCTAAAATTCATTTTATTACTTGAACGATCCGTACACTTGCGGTAATCAAAGTCGAACACATTTTCGACGTGTCAAAGAACGTGCCTAATATAATTGCTTAAGACTTTTTGTGGTTAATATTGGCACTCTCTGCAGGAAAAATATAAAGAAGAGTAATGCTTTGCAGCCAGACACAAGGCACTAATCCTAGAATCACAATGCATACAACTTTAGAAAAACTAATAGCGAACAATCGACAGGACTGTAGTAAACAGGTCATGAATTCGAAGAAAAGCGAAAGGGGCCTTATGGTCAGGATGTCTAAAAAATTCATCATTTCCATCGCCTGAATTTTTCTTTTTAGCAAGCCCATTACATGTATTATGTACGCTGCTGATCACTTAATTTATGTCATGAAAGCTAATCACAAATATCAGAAGTCATCATCAAGCAAACTCTTGATCCTGATCCAGAATTAGATAGTGATTGAACTTGGCCAACAGAGTTCTCTAAGAAATGACAAATATTGTCTCCTTGAGTATATAACTAGATCATACTTGCGCAGAATGAAATCTATCCGATTGTGGTCATTTGTGACTTTACACAATGGTCTCTTGGATTCATTGTACTTAACAAACACCTAGTTAATTTTCCAAATCTCTCTGACTTAAGTTGGATCTACAATCCAATTCACCACCATCCAGTTTTTACATCAACACGTCATTCACTAAATCCCAAACAACTCCGAAAAAATTCCAGTTCAGTTGATCCGCGCTTGAGTAGAATCCAAATAATTTGTCATCTCAGTCGCAAAGGGCATATATCATTTGACAAAACATATGCATACAAACATATATATAAGTAGTCAAGTCGAACAAATCTGTAAGCATCCACATGTACATATGCATATATACATATAATCTTTGCGTGTGTGAAAGTAGAAATAGACAAAGGAACTTACGAATTAAGAAAATAAGAGTCTAACCAGCGATGCAAGCTGGTAATGATCGAATTCACTTTTAACGGAGAAAAACAACAGACTTGTAGCAATTCCCCCAAATGAGGATCTTTTCGGCTCTAGGGATTTAGGAAGACCAGCTTTCAATTCCCAAATCTGGATCTTTTCTGCTTTAGATTTTGATTGGGTAAAAGGAGTGGCAGTCGCTTCATTCGGGTTGGATCGATTCGGGGTCAATTCGACTCACAAATGTTTATTGGACCATATAGACTTGTTACTGTACAAGTATGTCGGTCTTTTAAAATTAGTAGATTAAGTAGTCAGGGGCTACTGGCTAAGAGCATCTCCAATAAATTCTTTAAACATGAGATACTCCCTATTTTAAAAAGTCAACATTTAAAATCATGCTCCAACAAACTCTTTAAATTAACATTTTCATTTGAAGAGTCAAACTCACCTTCTATAATTAAATACATTCAAAGTGTTTCAATTTTCAATGTGTGAAAACAATAAAATAATTTTTAAAAAAGCTAGTTAAAATAAAAGATAAAGAAAAATAATAAATATTTGTTTGGAGTAGTAAAATTAAGTGTTAAATATAAAGAGCGTGTTGGAGTACTTCAAAATTTTAATACTCTCCAAATGATAGAATATACTCTTTAAAAATAAAGAATCTTTTGGAGATGCTCTAAAGGGTCGAATCAAAATGGAAACAATGAAAAAACATAAAATTACGACTATATGCAGAGGTCGATTCTGAGTTTTGATAGTTCAATTGGTGAGTCTACTCTGAGTTCTTATAAATTAAAGTTTGAGTTTGACTATAATTTATATGGAACTTCTATTGAAACCAAATATAAGTACAATAACGACATACACCATACACGGGCATTAATCTATCTTTATAATATATAATATGTTAAATACCGCATCGAGTTAGAATAATTTTTTTGACGATTATAGCACTACAACAATTCGATTATTTCGATAATACCTTACTTTTCATTTTCAATATGTATTTAATTTACAACCTGTAATAAATATCGTTGACCCCAAAAAATGGACCAATGATGTAACCAACAGAAAATTATAAATTCACTTCTTTGTAAGTGTAATCGCAATATACTCAAATCAAATTACTAATTATATCGATGAGTTAATGAAGAGAATGATTTGAAGTGTTTGACCAGTTGCAATATGATTATTTGGTTGATAAAAGGGGTCGGCGTAAGGAGTAAAACAGAGAGAATTATGAGAGTGGGTTCAAACTCACTCATTATAATTAATTGCATTCAAAGTGTTTCAATTTTCAATGTAGGAAAACAATAAAATAATCTAAAGAAAAGTTAGTTAAAATAAAAGATAAAGAAAAATAATAAATATTTTTTTGGAGTAGTAAAATTAAGTGTTAAATATAAAGAGCGTGTTGGAGTACTTCAAAATTTTAATGCTCTCCAAATGATAGAATATACTCTTTAAAAATAAAGAATCTTTTGGAGATGCTCTAAAGGGTCGAATCAAAATGGAAACAATGAAAAAACGTAAAATTACGACTATGCGCAGAGGTCGATTCCGAGTTTTGATAGTTCAATTGGTGAGTCTACTCTGAGTTCTTATAAATTAAAGTTTGAGTTTGACTATAACTTATATGGAACTTCTATTGAAACCAAATATAAGTACAATAACGACATACACCATACACGGGCATTAATCTATCTTTATAATATATAATATGTTAAATATCGCATTGAGTTAGAATAATTTTTTTGACGATTATAGCACTACAACAATTTGATTATTTCGATAATACCTTACTTTTCATTTTTCAATATGTATTTAATTTACAATCTGTAATAAATACCGTTGATCCCAAAAAATGGACCAATGACGTAGCCAACAGAAAATTATAAATTCACTTCTTTGTAAGTGTAATCGCAATATACTCAAATCAAGTTACTAATTATATCAATGAGTTAATGAAGAGAATGATTTGAAGTGTCTGACCAGTTGCAATATGCTTATTTGGTTGATAAAAAGGGGTCGGCGTAAGGAGTAAAACAGAGAGAATTAAGGTTCACTTTTGCTGTGTAAACTTGCATTACCCCTCGATGGTGTTAAGTGTGTCTTTTTATACCAAGTGTAGTGGGAATCCAGCATGTTAGATGGCTAGGCACGTGGGTATACTAGATCCAATGGTCCTTATTGACGTTAATCAATTAATCAACCAAGTCATTTAATGCTAAGATCCCCACTTGCAGGCTAAGGATCCAGTAGTGTAGGTATGTAGGGGCGGCACCTGCAGTGTATTGTCTTGTCAATCACTTCACAAGGTCCGCTGTGGTTGACTTACCGCCTCTCCAAGGATGGGTTCGTATCGGGGACCTCTTCCAAAGGAGATCGAACGATACAGCTTCAGATAGACTATGCCTCAGTATATGTCGAGTCGGGTTGCCCACATTTCTATGTGAGATGTGATTTTGTCTAGCCCCCAAATGGCGTGTTTAGTTTATGATTATTTATATGAGTAACAAATACTATAATTAATTCTCAATTAATTAATATTCGCATTCATTTAATTAATATTAATTATAAGTTCACATTCGCATTCATGTCCATATCTCTATTATTAACGGTTAATTATCTACACTATATTAAATATTATATCAGTGATAATTATTTTTTGGACGATTATAGCCCTACAACAATTCAATTATTTCGATAATACTTTACTTAACATTTGCATTCATATCCATGTTCATATTATTAACAAGTAATTAACATTAACATTCATTTAATTATTATTAATTAGAATTTCACATTCACATTCACGTCTATATCCCTATTAACAATCAATTAACATTTACATATATAATCTATTAAATATCATATTAAGTGAGAATCATTTTTGAGACGATTATAGCCCGCTACAATTCAATTATTTTAATAATACCTTACTTTTCGTTTTTCAATATACATTTAATTTACGAACTGTAATAAATATTATAATTAATTCTCAATCAATTAACATTCATGTTGATTTAATTAATGTTAATTAGAATTTTACTTTTCACATTTACGTCATGTCCTTGTTATTAACAATTAATTAATATTCTCATTCATTTAATTAATTAATATTAATCAAAATTTCACATTCAATAATGCGATTCATTATTAACGTTCATATATGTTATTTAGCATACAGTTTCACTTAATTAGAAGTTAAATTATATTCATTTAATATAAATGATTTAACATTCATTGTAATGTATATTCCTTGTTATTTATTCTAAATTAATTGACATTCACGTTAATTCATGTATTATATTTGTAACTTCATTTATACATTTAATTATAATTCTAATACGTACGTTCAACTATGCATTTCACTATTTAGGTGCATATATAATAATTAACATTTATTTTTAGGAGCTTGCATTTTTCTCATGTTTAGATCAAAATGATAAATGGAGGGTCAAATATTATTTTTACAGCACTTATAAAATATTTCAAATTCAACTTTGACTAGTATACGTTAATACCACTAACAACACAAAATTTGTAGCAATATTCATTATCAACACCAATTATATTTGAACTCGCACATTTATGTTTCTTTATATTTGAAAATCACGATCCTAATAGCTTTTATAGAGAGAAGACATCTTAGAGTAACACATTAAGTGTGTACGAAGACTCTTTCCTAGAAAATGGATATGGTACGGACGCTGCCTTGTCGTGACATGACCGAAGAAACGTGAAATACTCGGAGTTTAGCATTGATTCGAGAATCAAGGCAGCAAATAGGTTTTGTGATGAGCAAGTGATCGAGGCACGAATGCCTAATTTATTTGATGCGGCATCACAAGGCAAATTCGAAAACACAAGTGAGATTGGCATTCTTCGATGGATTGATGCGGGCTGTGTCCGACAGCATTGTGAACTTGCTATCCAACTAGTTTCTGTACTCAGACTAAGGAAAAAAATGCCACATGGAAGGCACGTGATATCAGTTTTGCTAGACTTGACATGGGGGCAATTACGAGCGATTTCTGGCATGAAAATTGCTGGAAAATTAGCAAATTGACCCAGCTGTTGGGGGCTGTCAACTGCCACACGAATTTCCTCTATTTAATCTAAGCCCTTGTTCGGTCTCTATTATATCCAAATACATTCTTCTTTATCTTATTTTCAACCACACATTGTTCACTAAAATAATATCGCGCGCAAACACAAAAATTTTCCCTATTTTTTAATTACACATTCTCTATCAAATCACTATTTTAATATGCATTTTTTTTTTTTTGCAAAAAAAAAAAAAAGGGTTTCAACATGCTCTAAGTGTTAGTGCATTTTAGAGAGATAGAACAATGGATGCTTGTGATGAGACAACAATGGCTGTCTTCATCCGTCACATTTCTTGTACTTATTTATTTTCTTTGTTTTATAGAAATAAAGTTAAGGACGGTTTTCCTAAAATCTGTGTTTTACTTTATTGTTTCGATACTTCAATTCTTTGCAATTTTTACTTAGTTAAATTCAAGAATTTTTGAGAACCAAAAGTGTAAATTCATGTGAAATGTTTGGTTGGGAACAGAAAACATCAGCTCGGAAAGGTCTTACGATAGCATGCCAATTGTAAAATATAATCTTATAATAACATTAAAAAATTTCACCTTGATGATCCATCCTTCCATGGGCGGACCCACGGGGTCCTGGTGGCACATGACTCCCAACTTTTAAGTTTATATATATATATATAATCATGTTTGGTATCGATTGAAATATAAATTTTAATTTAAATGAAAGTTAACAATTAATTTTAATAACATATTTCATGAAATTTATAACTGTTTAACTTTTATCAAAATTTACTAAAAAATTGATTTTAATCTCCATCAAATAGTGGCAAAATCACAATAAATTTTAATTTTTCTCTTTTTCTCTCTTTTTTAACAAAATCTTAACTCTCCATCAAATAAGGGTGAAATATTGGATTCGTAATACCATTTCGAAGTGTTCACGGTCTAATTTTCTAAATCGTTAATGGTGTATGAAATGATCAATCGTAGCAAATGCTACGACTTGTCAAAGTAAGCCGTTCAAAATTAGTATTTTGAAAATTTCGATAATATGCTAACTTTAAAAAATTTTCGACGATCGTACGCTAATCGAATTTACAAATTATTTATGTCATCTCAAACATTATTTCGAGAACTATATTATAAGCATATCAAATAATCCAAACAGATATCGAAAATAGTTAAATGTGAGTTTTGAAGAAAGACATTTAACTCGCATTTTCTTTTAAAAAATTCAATTATTTCATTAACATTTATTATTTTTGCAATACAAATTTCTCAATATAATTTTCATCATTTTATTAGGAAATTTTATATGGAATATGACATTAAAAAATTTCAAAATTTTACATTTGAAAAAGTCATATCCCGTGTAAATTTTCTGATGCAAAATTACATGAGGTATAATTTTTTTGAATATAAATTTTCGATTGTAAAATTTTTCCCAATTTCTTTACAAGTTTGATTGTGCCCCTTTGACTTTTAAATTTTGCGTCCGCCCCTGCATCCTTTAAAACATTAAATTTTCACCACGATTATCCATCCTTCAATACCAATCGAGTTTATATTGGAGGCCGATTCAATCCAGGTTCGACTCGATAAAATGGCTCGTAACCAGAGTTGGCTGGTCCCAGGCCGGGCAGTATGATCCCGTCGGTTCGTTACATGGACGGGTCACTTTGGAACTAACTCGTACATATTTACGCCTACTCCCAAGCATAATTAGACCCTGCATCTAAAATTTACGCATGTTCATAAATAACTACAAATCGAAAATCAGTAAAGAGAGGCAGAGTACAGACACCACAGGTGG